ACACTGGGAGACATATGTATCACCTCTCAGTAAGTCCTCTAAAAGAAATCAGTTTTCTCTCACCAGCTGAATATTATATAAAATCATTCTATGAAAAATAGAAACTTTAGAAATCACTGTCTGGCAAGAAGCTCAAAACTAGAAAAAAAAGAACTAAGACTCACCTCTCATACCCCATGCTCTGGGATATAGCTTCAGTGAGTAGACTTGGAGAGCAGTATTTTTTGCTCTACTTAAAAACGTCTGATTTTTTTTCCTGATTAAGCCCCAATACTAGAACTCATCAAGTTAAATAAATGGTTTGAATGATGTGATAAAATACTGCCCACATCTTAAATTTAAAAACCTCCCTCCAACTTACATTAAGACCTAGATTAATAAGATTTCTTAAAACTTAGCCTATGATATATACTTACGTACAGTAATACCTGTTATGTATTCAAAATAAATGTTAAGTGATTGACTGATCCAGCCATTGGTAAACAAAGCTTATAATTGAATCAGTACACCTGTAAATGTCAAAACCTCTACTTTAGAACTTTTAAAGAGCTTTAAGAGTCACAGAGATAAATACAATTGCCAAGTTTTGAAAAAGACTGAGCAACAAGAACTCTACTTCAATTTTACGAGCCCCCTGCACAGATGTGAAAATACTTACATGGACAAGTTAGGAGATGGAACCCCCCTATCATCAGCTAGGTTCCCAAGGTGGCTCAGCGTTGAAGTCGAACTGCTCTCTATACAGCACTTCTCCTAGGCCCTCTGGATAGTTGTATACTTGGTCAGAAAGTTCGCCCTATAGAAAGAAATAAAAGTAGTAGTACATGCCCTATGTAAAAAAAAAAAAAAAAAAAGTGCTTTTAAGCAGGTTAACTGACTTAAAAGATTAACTGTGGGAACAAGTTTTAGTTTTAATAAATAAAATGTTTCATTAAAGTTACACTACACAAAATGTTTTCAAAGAGTTTACTACTAAACAAAGTAACAGTGAGCATTTCCAAGCTGTTATAGTACAAAATTCACAAAACCTAATGTCATGGTCATCTTACCAAATTGTTTTACCTACCTACTCAGTTTTCTAGTCTTCATCTAAATTAATTGTTGCTTTTGTCATCCAAAACCCAAATTTCTAAATGACCTAAAATTTTAAAATTTCCAGTACCCTCACCAACCTGATATGTATGTATGCAAGACTTTATACATAACCTGTAGTGTGGAACTACCCAGAATGAGTTTTACTCTTTAAATTCCAAGGTCTTCTTTGCTTAAAGTATAAAATCCTACTACATACTAAAAAGAAAAAAATTTTGAGTTAGCTATTATATATATGTGTGAAATAACTTTTGAGAACTGCCTTATACATTAAGCAAGTGACCTCTAAAGGTTTACCTCCTCCTCCTACCTAACCTAGGAACATGTAAATGTAAAATTGCTTGGCAAACTACAATATGCTAAATAAGTTTTATAAATTACTTATGGTTGATAGGATGAACTTCCACCTCTGAACTAATCCGCTATACCTACACTTCTATTCTTAATTCAGTGGTTGCTACTTTAAAGTAATATAATCTGACAGCATTTGCTAGAAAAGGGGTGAGATAAGGAAACCAGAAAAATGATGAAACTAGAAATTACAAGGGCAAGATTCAGAGATTTCAGAATCAGTCTAGGCTTATTTAAAACCTGTTTCTCATCTCAAACAGAATGGAGGCCACCCTTACAGTAGGTAAAATGTTTTTTCGATATACCAGGAGAATTTGTTCACACTCTCAATGACAGATGATGGGGCAAGAACCCATACCAGCATGCAAGTGATTATAATCCTACATTAGATTCCAAATAATGTACTCCAAAACAAAGACTGACTCTTCTCACAATAAGATAATCAAAAAATAAATTAAGACTCATGCTGGAGACAGAACTCATTCTCAATTATCCTAAGAAATAGGATAATTATCCTGAGCGAGACATTTTCACCTTTTCCCTACTATATTTCCACAGCTATTTTGCTGCTTAATGTAACCCAAGAGCAGCGATATGAAATGTTAAGAACATAAAACTTCATTCAAGAATGTTCTTCAGCATAATCTCAAAAACATTTTTATCTAACAGATACAAGCAGAAAATGAAGGCCTTAAAATTTGAAAGGTATATTTTAATAAAAATAATAAAAGGGGTAGTATATAGGATAAGAGGGCCTTTACGTACAAGCTAAATAAAAGGTTTGTACAGTTAAGGTAAACCAAAAGGAGAAAACATGAAAATGTGGAGAAAAGGAATTTCAGAAAGATATTCTCATTTAGATTGATGTGTGTAAATCACATAGACCATATATGACATTGCATTCAACTGTTTGAAGAGACTGTCTTTTCAGTGCAGGCCAGTAAGATAAAGGATCTTCTCCCATCACTCTGACAGTAATCACCCCCAAACCTAGCATATCCCTAAGGATCAGTATTTCTCTGAAAAACTCAACATGGCCTTTACCAATGACTTTTAAAGCTGTTCTGCGGTATACTTTCCCCAAACCCCAGCCTAATCATGGAAAAAATATTAGATAAACCCATCTTGGGGACAATCTACTAAATATCTGGCCAATACTTCTCTAGACAGTCAAGGACATGAAAAGCAAGGAAAGACTAAGAAAACTGTCACAGATCAGAGATGTCTGGGGAAGACATGGCAAGTAAATGCAATGTGGTATTTTGGATAGGATCCTGGAACAGAAAGAGGACACTAAACATTGGTGAAATCCAAAGAAAAGTCTGGAGTATAGCTAACAGTAATATATCTGTTTTAGTTTTGACAAATATACCACGGTAATGTAATGTTAATAACAAGGTAAGTTGAGTGAGAAGTACCTCCTGGTACCATGTTTGCCACTTTTCTACAAACCTATTATTTCAAAATTAAGTTTATTTTAAAAAATCAGGCAAAATATTCGTATCAAAAATATGTGGCATTAAAGCCTTTTACACAAAAGAGTACATAGTACAATTTTACTTATATATAAGTTCTAGAACATCCAAAACTAATCTATTGTTTAAAAAACAGGAATATGGTTCCCGCTACAGTGAGGGATTTGGAGTTTGAAGGGGCAAAAGAGAACTTTCTGGAATGATGGCAATGTTCCACATCTTAACAGAGGTTTAGATTACACAGCCATTTTTCTGTCAAAACTCATCAAATAGTACACTTAAGATTTAACCATTTCACTCTTATGGGAATTTTACCCAAAGATTATTTTTAAAGAGGAAAAAAAAGAAGACAGGTTGATGAATGGATAGCAAGATGACAAATAAAGCAAAATGTTAACTGACTCTAGGTGAGAGTACAATTCTTTTCCGTTTTCTGTACGTTTGAAAATCTTATGTTAAATCAGGGTTGCAAGGCAGAAAGTACTGATTACTTGATAATTGCACCTATCACATCACCTGTAAACATTAGGAGCCTACCTTCCCTACAAAATGTAAACTCTTCAGGGCTTGTCTTCATGATGAGTATTTACACTCTTACATTTGTAAAAGAAATTAGATTACTAGGGCCTTGCCTGACAATTAGTCGTCTTTCTGCTAGGCTCATCCGGATCCTTTCCTGACCATCGAGTAATTCTGTGTCCTCAGGTTCGCACTCAAGCTGGGAGCTCAAGGGTGGAAACCCAACAGGACAAAACATCTTAACTTATCCAAGACACCACAAAAAAATCCATTTAATACTGATGAAACATCATGGGCCTGTAAACTGTGTCCGCGACCAGTTCAGGTTTCCGAAGCAGCAGCTTAGCCTACAACATACGCTCAGGATATATACTGGGTAAGGGTTAAAAACACGTCACCACCATCAGTCAAGACAGTATTTAATAAGCCACCCAAAGCCTACCGTTCTCCCTCTCTCAGCCCAGGAATGGTGGCGCGGACGGGAAAACGAAGCCATGGTGACTAATCTTCAGACTCCAGGAGGTGACTGGGGTGAGTGAAGGCGACTTGGCCCAATCAGGAGCGCCTCAGGGGGCGGAGCAGCAGCCCCGAGGCTTCCAGAAAGGACCAAAGGCCTCTCGCTCGCTACCTGACACCGGGGCTTCCCCGCCGGCGGGCCCCGGGTGGCGTCAACTTTCCTCCACCAGAGGGGGGCCGCACTCCCCGCGCCCTAAAGAACTCATCCTCCTCCGGCAGCTGTCACAGGAGGCCGGCGCTGGCCCGCCCCGCTCCATTCATAACCTAAGGCCCTGGCCGTTGTAATCCGCGCTACCCGCCGGACTCCCGGCAGCGAAGGCAGGCGCCTCTCAGGGCCCGGCTGCAGGACCAAGGCCCCTCAGGGCAGCCACTCGGCCCCCTCCCCGGAAACAGCAATGCACCACGGGAGAGGGGTGGAGGCCGCACGCCGCCGGAGGCGACGCCGACCCCCGGCCGCGAGACCACCGCGCGCGCCCCCACACGCACACGCCCCCTCGCCCCAACCCCGGCGGCTCCGGCCATGCCGAATGTGAGGCGGCCGCCTGAGGGCCTGAAAGGCGCCGCCGCCGAGGCACAGACAGCCGCCACACACGCCGCCGTCCGCCATTTTCGAGGCGGCCGGCCGCGGGGCGCTGCGGGGACGCTGGCCAGGCGTCGGGGCCGAAACGGGAGGCACCTGGCCGCTCCCCGAGGTCGGCCCCACGCCCCAAACCCGCCCGCGCCCCTCGGGTCTGTACTCACGTGAGATAACGGCCCAAAGAGTCGGGTAAAGCGTCTTCTCTTTTTCGGCGGAATTTTTAAAGAGGGATGTGGTTACCTTGAGCAGAAATACCCAAGGCGGCCTGGGCCATAAGCTGCAAGGACGACGTGGGGGGAAAAGCGCGGCACCGACACCAGCTGTGCAGCAGTGGCAGCGGCGGCCGAAGAAGAGAAATAGAACAACGCAGGTACAAGAGGAAAGGCGAGGGCTGGGTGGGAGGAGGATTCGGCCTCGGCACACCGCAGACCAGAAGAGCGAGAAAGGATGAGAAAAGGCAGAGAAAGCGAAAAAAATGGAAACACCGCAGCCGAGCGAAGAGCCAGAGTGTGGAAAGGCGGTGCCGGCAACGCCAGTATTTATAGTAAGGGGCGGGGCCTGGCGACGTCACAGTCGGCCGTACCGCCGCGCAAGCGGGGCGGAGCCGGGCTACGACCGGGAGAGGAGGGGGAGGGCGGAAGGGAAAAGGGGATGGCGCGGTGCGAGCGAAAGGGGGCGGGGCGGAGCGACCCGGCGGTACAGGTGCTGACAGCCTGGCGGCTTCCTGCCCTTCCGCGGCCCGCAGCTCCCTTCGCTGGGGCAAGGCTATCCGCGAGGTGACTCGACTCGAGTGCCTTGTTGCTCTCCGGCCCCGCCCCTTGGGCGCCTAGGTCGCGCTAGCTGCTGGCCGGGGCGCTTGGCGAACTGTGTGTGCCCGGCAACCCCGCGGCCGCAGTGCCGAGCGCTCTTCTGGGCCAGGGGCGGCGGGACGCGTGCATTTCCTGGAGGGGTGTAAGGTTGTCTGTCGGGGCCATCCCCGGAGCTTCCCCCTTCTAGACCACTCAGCGTTGTGAGGGCTTTGTAGGCTACGTCTGGTGACTGCCCTCCCAGCATGAGGCTTCAGCCCCCGCGGGCTGCGGCGATCCATTATGGAAGCGAGTTGCTAATGGCCAGGACCGTTCGGCCCAGTGTTCGAGTGGTCGCAGAGGCTTATGACTGTGTAAAAATGTCCCCAGTGCTCTTATGTTGCAATATGCTGCAGTAGGAATATTGTTTTAAAGGGATTTTAAAAGGTGTTGGTGCAATTAAACCCAACCCTTTTTAATGAAAGACCAGTGTTAGAGAAGGGATTACTGATGTTAAAGCGCACCTTATTTAAACCCCCACGTCTCATTTTCGCGGTTATTTTAATGTTACTACATAATAAATTTTTTTTTTTTTTTTACTGCAGACCTAGAACGACCTACATAGCTTTTAATTTATCGTCATCTTTTTAAAATGTCTTCGCACTAGTGATTAGAAACCAGGAGTCCTCGTATGCTAACGCCTTGCAACTCAGACTCAACAACACAAATGAAATCTGTATTAACACAACCCTCCAAAATTAAGATATTTGATATTAAGACCCAGAGTGTTTTTCTTTAGTTCTTCCCCACCGTCTTTTTACTTTGTGAGCAGCACTGTAGTTGATTAATAAATCATCAAATGGATAGGAAGAGATAGAGCCTTCCTGAGTGAAAGGTAGCAATGCTGAAATGTGGGCTCTTGGGTGAAAATATTAGGTAGAAATCAGGAGCTATGAATTCTATTCTTGATTTTGTTTTTCTATATTTCACTCTGCTTTCTTGGCTTTCTCTTTCATTATAAAAATTCTTTTCAATTCAGTACATTTATAAGCACAGCACTTTACTAGACCCCCTGGAAGAGGGAGAAGGCAAGAAATAAATACACCACTTGAAATCTTGCTTACAGTCTATCGGGAAATAAGACAACTACATAAAACCACTAAATTGTTGACGGATAAATAGATAAAATGCTGCATGGAACCCAGTGGAAGGATGAAATTATTGCAGCTAAGTGAGAGAAAGGCTCCTGGGAAAAGGTCCAGATAGATTTTGAGAGCAGACGTTAAAGACATGGGAAACAACGGATTTTGAAAGTAGATATTCCAGGCAAGGGAAACAAGTGAAAGAAGGCAAAGAAATGGACCAGTTTGGAGAACTGTGAGTAGGCTTTCTGGCTCCAACATAGAGGCATGGTTGCAACTGAGTTTGAAAAATTAGGTTAGGGTGAAATCAAGAGATCAGAGCTTAGATTATATTCTGGAACCATTTAAGCACAGACATGATATACTCAAAGATGTTTTTTTAAAGATTACTCTCATTAGTGCGATTAAAAATAGTTTAGAAGAGAGAAACAATGAAGGCGATTCATAGCAGATAAGAGTACAAAGATTGGATGAGAGAGAAAAGGTGTAAAAAGATGAGATTATCTTGAATGTCAAAGGAGATGGGAAGATGTCAAATGATTTGGGTATACTAAGCTAATTAACAGGGAGAATTCTGGAATCATAACAGGTAGAAACAGAAGGACCCAGTTTGGAGGGAAGAAGATGAGCCTGCTTTGAACATAGTTTGAACTGTTGATGAAATAATCCATGTCAAGATGGTGCAAAGGCTCCTGGAAACGGAGATTGGGAGCCCTTTTGGCTGTGAATTTGGGAACCTCTCCGACTGGCATAATAATTAAGGAAATGTTGACATCTACAGGAAAAGAGATATGGGCACAGGACCAAAAGAAATGCCAGAGAGAAGGGAGGCTGACAGAAAAGCCCAAGAGGATCATCTGGAGAAGTAGGAGAGTCACAATAGTACAATGTTAAGCTATTCAAGGTGGAATGAGTAATTAATGTGTCATATCCCTCAGACAGGATGAAAATGGGATTCTGATTTTGGCAAATGGCAAATCATTGGTAAATCCAATCTCATGTTAATAAATTTGGATTTTATTCTGAAAAGGTTTTAATTATAGGGGTGACTTGAATTAGTAAAGGGCAAAAAGTGGGGGTAGCAAGAGAAAGGACTGTACGTATGTGGCAGGGAGAACACTTGGAAAGCTGTTGTAGTGACCCACTGAGAAGGATATAAGGGCCTCAAAAGAAGTTAACAGTGACCTTTAATGAACAATTTCGGTGGAGTGGGAAAGACAAGACAGGACACAGAAGTTTGAATGAGGAGCAGCAGAAGAGAAGTCAGTAAATGTTGACTGCTCTTTCAAGTAAAAGTTACTAGACTAGAGCCTACTCCAACATCATTTATACCTTGAAGCAATTCAACAACTTTTATTATTCAAGAAGGACTCTACTGCCTGGAGACAGTGCTAGCAGCTGTAGTGGTGTATAGAGAAATGTACAGTAATGAGCATGGTTCAGTACCTGCCACATATCAGGTCTATTATATGACAGGATGGAACTATCATGATTCACAGGTTCGACCAGCTGAAAGAGGTTTGGAAACTGTCATTTGGAGGGTTAGGAAAAATAAACAATCTTATGTCACAGGGGGAGGAAATCACAATAAATATTTTCAATGTTAAAAAACTTTTATTATTCATGATTAGTATTTGTGTATTCAAATTTACAGAATAATGCTAGCTTTCAATAAATACAGTAGAACCTTGAAAACTGTGCTGCAATGAAATAGACAACATAGTATGTAACTTTAATAGACAATAGCTACCTAATGAGAACAGCATATTTAACTGTGTTTGGGGTTTGAGGTTTTGGGGTTTTTGCCAAATTGTGTTACTCACACACAAATACATAGGTAGTGCCAGAGAAAGTATTATTAAATAGAGAGCCCTAAGATAAAATGATTATACCATTCACACTTAGATCATCCTTGTCCATTGATTCAAACTCATTTACTTTTATGCCAATAGATATAAAAGATCGAGTAAATTAGATTATTGATAAAATCACTAGCTTATAATAGAAATACTTTATAGTCATTTATATAAATGTGACAAATGTAAAGAGTCCAATAGTAATTGAGAATAAAAATCCCAGTTTAATGGGACCGTTTAAAGAGACCTTAATAAGAGTTTGTATTCCTGTGGTACATTCTCAGAATACTCCTTATTATATAGAAAGCCAAAATATATAGGTTTCAAATAGTTAAAGCATTCACATTTTAAAACATTACGACATTTCAGTTATCTAGCATATCTTTCTATGGACTGATAACCTTCTAAAAAGCTAATTCATCTGATCTTGGAAGCTAAGGAGGATTGGACCATAAAAGTACTTGGATGGAAGACCACCCAGGAAGACCAGGTGCTGTAGGCATAAAAAATAAAAAATAAAGGATTGAAAGCTGACAAGGTCCTTGCAATCTGTGAGGTCAACCAAGGGTTGCCTCACCTAAAAAATAAATTAAAAAATAAAATAAAAAGCTAATTCATTTATCAAGAATCTAATGCTACAGCTTTTATGGATTAGTAAAATTGGGTAAAAGTGTTTTTATTTGCTGTACTCAGCAAAATAATTTGCTGAGTACAGAGTTCAGATTATACCATTTTCCCTTTGAATGGAGTAGATATAAAATGTTGTCTTTTATTTGCTGCGTATCTGTCGTTAAAATCCTTTAGAGTTGTAACCTATGTTGATTTTTACCTCAGATGAAAAGTCACTTAATTTGGAAAGAGACTTTCTTAAATTGTCATCTTTAATTTTTTTTTCTCACAAAATTCAGGGGCCAGGTCAGTAGGGTGATGTGGCATCCCAGTCAGGTACCCTGCGTCCCAGCACAGACTTGAAGTTGCTCATGTCCATCACCCAGATCTTTGTCCACAGGATAATTTAACCTATAGAATTATATGCCCAGCAAGCAAAGGGTGATAGAGCCCAGATACAGCCCAGATTCAAACCCATGTGCAAGAGAAAATAATTTTTTCTATTTTCATTTTAGTGGCTGTGTATGTCATTAGATATAGGTCAGCATTTTACCTCTCCCGAGTGACTTGGATAGCTTCTGTAATAAGCAAGTCATAAGCAATGCACTGACGTCTTTTATTACTTCAAGAAATAACAAATTACTCACTGTTAATTTAAGAGGACTGCTTTATAAACCTATATAAGAGGCCAAAGCAATAATCCAGTTTTGCCAATTGAATGTAACCTACATGAGTAGAATAATCAACAGACACAATATATAACTTTTTATTTTCCTCCAATCCTTGGAAATTAGGAAATACTTGGAAAATTAATTTCATTTTCACTTTCCTGCCAGGCATTATCTGATAAACAAGTGTTTTGTTTATTGGGTAATATATAGCAAGATAGGTTCATATCTCTCGATCTCAAAACAGCTGCTTGTGGATATACTAAACTTTTTGGTTAAGGATGTAGAAAATAGTAGCTCTGAAATTTAATTTTGTCCAGTTTGAATTGTGGTTTGCTCTATTTTCTTTAATAAGTAACATAACCTAAGTTTTGTCACATAAGCACCTAAATGATTGTTAATAACAGCAACTACAGGCTACCTTTTATTTAATGAGAATTTTGAAATAACTTTGTCATTTAATTAGAAAAAGTAGCCTTCATTCCTTTGGAAGAACTTCTCCGCTGCCATACCCTGGGTTCTGCTGGGAACTGTCATCTTCTAAACCCCAGCCTCCCAGGCCATAGTAACTGCTTTAAAGGTTGAGAGCTACTCACTCTATCTTGGGGATAGGGGCAGTTCAATAATGATTGGTGCGCATTTGATTCAGATCATAGTTTTCTTGGAGGAAGGAGAACTAGACAAAAAAAATCATTTATTCTGTGGCTCAAGTTATGTCAATATGAGCCAGGAGCTGCCAGCAACCAGGGTCCCAAAAAGAAACCTGTGAGAAATGAAGCCAACTCTCATCATGAGGAAGAGTCAGCTTTCCAGTTGTTTTGTTTTTCTTGCTATTCAGTTATACCAGCAAAGAAATTCATCTTTCTTATCTAAGTTAGTTTCAACTAGCTTCTGTCACTTGCAAACAAGAATCTAGGCCTACACAAGAGAGAAAAAGGAAAAGATCTTCATTTAGGTTCAAAAAATCAATTGCACAAGCATAAGACAGGAGAGGCCTGAGTTTTCACCATCTAAATAAGTACCTGGAGAAGGTAGTTGGCCACAAGCCTGCCATGAACCGACAGACATGGAATGCATTAAAGAAAAAAAAAAAAACTCGAATGCAATAATTTCGGGCTGCATTAGTAAAGTACAGATCAGAGGGGAGGTAGCAGTTTGGTTTAATTTTGGTCAGACTCGAAATATAGTTTTTCTGTTTGGGGGGTAAGTTTTGTTGTTGCGAAGTTCTAGGTAGCACATTGTGCAGGAGAATGGAAACCAGACAGTTTGGAGGAAGACAACAATAAAAGTGTGGAGGACTAGGAAACAACATTATTAGGAATGTTAAAAGTGCTTGAGATAGATTAGGGGAAAAGATGGAGGGAAACTTTTTTTAAAAGTAGAAACAAAAGTTACCATTTTTTTTTTTTTTACACCAAATGCCAGACACTGTGCTAAAGCCCTTCAGATTGTTATTTAGTCCACCAAAAAGGTTTTCAGGTAGGTCTTACTATGCTCATTTT